TCATCCCAGGCATCAACAATTCTTCCACCACTTTCCATCATAGGAATATTCAAAAAAATTGAATTGCAAGAATCCTCAGGAAATCAGAAGAATCATGTCAATATAGAAAATCCATAATCAATTACACGAGTCAACACCTACCTTCTGCAAATAAGGTTTCTTGCGCCCAAAACTATTAAGTGGTATAGGCTGAAATGTACCCTTCTCTAAAACAACGAAAAAATTGTATGCTGAAGTCTTAACCTCAGTACTTTAGTATATGTCTGGCTGTGAGTCTGCATAGACACAACTAAGTCAAAATGAGGTCTCTAAGGTAGGCTGTAATTCAGTATGACCAGTGTCCTTAGAGAAAAAAGATATTTGTATATGGACAGGCACAGAATAAAAACCCAGAGACACAGGGACATGGCACCTGTCTATGATCCAAGGAGGAATCTTAGGACAGATCATCTCTCTCAGCTGTAAGAAAAGCTGTCACGGTATCTTGGCTTTGGCCTTCCAGTCTCCAAAACTATGAGGCGGTAACTACTGTGTAATACGCTGTCATAGAAGCCCGGGAGCCTTCTGAGGTGGTTGGTCTTATACTGTACAGTGATGAAAGACAAAGTCTCAGTCAAAACCCAGAATGCTAGACTCCAAAGCCTACTCTCTATAGATTACCTTGACTGGCAGTCAACCTCTCATTGGCACGGGAAATTCTGGGCCTCAAAAACACTAAACTTGCCTTTTCTTTCTCTCTTGTTCTTCCTTTACCCTCTACTGCAACACTTCTGCCCCTCAGGTGCCACGGCCATGGTTTTTTCACTTTCCATCCTCCAGAATATCAACCCAAATAAATCTCTGTTCTAAATTTAACAAAATAAAACTGAAGGTTTATTATTTTAAGGGTCTCATTAAATATGTTGTTTATATTCAGCTTCTGTGAGCTCCATCCTCACATCATTAGATATTTTCATATAGATGTCTCATGAACTCAGGACTCAACATGAACAAACAGCGATGGAGCAATACCCACCTATTTTCACATGACCCGCCATTCATTGAGACCACCTTATGAAAATCATCCCTGACCTTTGCACTGGGCCCAAGGCACAGAGTTTGGACCTCTGCTCATTTTCTGTGCTGGTATAGACAGCAACTTCTCTATCTAGTCTCCACAGTTTATCATCTGATTTCTAGCTCAAGGTCCAGGCGATACCTTAGCATACTTCACTAGTGGAGAATCTTCCTGAGAATTCACAATACTTCAGAAATGATTTGGCATTTATATGGCATGGTATGTTATTCTTTGACTTATTATTTCAATCTTCTGCCTGCCACCTGGATGACAGATTCCTCAAGAGCACCATCTGTATCAAATACTCCATCTTATTTACTGACTCTAGCTTAATGATGCTCTGTAAGTCACTCAATAGCTGTTACAGGGAGGGTGTCAAACAAGGTCACTAACCTCATTAAAATTCTACATATGAACTGAGTGGGGAGGGAGACCATTTCACATTCCAATAAGAACTGTAAAGGAAATGAACAGGGTTATTGGCATGGTGAGCTGCATAAAGATGGGTAAGATAATAGCTAGCTGCTTTTTAGGCAGGATGGCCATAGGAAATTCCCCTGAGAACATAGGAGTTTATAGCTGGTACCTAAAAGCAGCCAGCGAAGAGCAGAGTGTATGTGAGGGCCCTGAGATGGGACACTGTGGAATGACTGAAAGAAAAGCAGCCAGAGTATTGGGTACAGGTTTTTAAAGGGGGAAATTAATAAAACATGGCTTACAATTTTAGATTATAATAGTTTCAAAATAAAGAAGAAACAATAAGGATGACAAAGAATGAGAAAATATAGTGTAAAAGTTACTACAACAATTCAAGAACTGGCGATTCCTGGATTATAGTGAGGAGACTCATATCAGCTGTGGACAGATGTGAGCTACCTTTTAGAGAGGTAACCAACAGAACCACATTTGGATAATTTCAGTAGGCAGTGCTGGACATTACCATTACACATGTACAGAGAATAGTGCATGGGATGTGAAGGACCAGAATTATGTTTGGATAGTAGGTTTAGGTAATTTGTTATTCCAGCCTTACTTGGTGGTGAGATCTTATTCTTTCTTCTTAGAGGTTGTTGAATTCAAGGGGAAATCCCAAGTAGGCAGATGGATGTACAAAATGAACACAAAGACAAAGTCTTAAATAAATAAACACATCTATGGAAGTTAACAGCTTATACCTGCTATTTAAACTTAGAAAATGAATGAAATTATCCAGGAATGGGTGCTTATTACAGAAAAGGTGGCTTCTTTTTTTTTTTTTTAATCTCTTCTTAGGTTCTACAAACCTAAAGGGCAGCATAAAGCAAGTAGAAAAACCAACCTGCCTGGAGTCTCTGATGTTGCAGAAAAGACTGTTTCAACCACGGGCAATCTGCTAAAGTTAGAAAAAGAACCCAGAAAAGGGAAGATTTGGTATATAATAAAAAGGCAACGGATACATTTTCTAAGATGTTTCAGCTAAATGGTAGTGAAAAAGCTAAACTGAAAGGACATGAAAGGAGGAATGAGATTAGAAAGTAGAAGAACAAGAGTGTTCTGGCTGGTTTAATAACAACCTGACACAAGCTGACGTCGCTTTGGAAGATCCTCAATTGAGAAAATACCCCTAACAGACTGGATTGTAAGCAAGCCTGTGGTACATTTTCTTGACTGATGATTGAGGTGGAAGAGTCCAGACAATTGGGGGTGTTGCTACCCCTGGGCAGGTGGTCTAGGGGTATAACAGAAAGCAAATAAGCCAGTCATGAGGAGCCAGACCCAAGCAGGATCAGCTCCTGCCTCCGTGTTTCTGCCCTGTTTAGTTCCTTGCCAAACCCTCTTGAATGATGAACTGTGATATGGAAGTGTAGGAAAAATAAGCCCTTTCTTCCCCCAGTTGTCTTTGGTCATGGTGTTTTATCACAGCAATAGAAACTCTAATTAAGACAAAGAGGAAGAATAGAAAGAGGAAGAGAAGGAAGATGCACATCCACATGGTCATCACCAATGTCGTCAACATCATCAATGTCATCAATATCATCATCAACATCATCAATGTCACCATCAACATCATCATCATCATCATCATCAAATAACAAACCAGATAATGACAGAGAATATTTAATTTGTCAGTACCTTCACAAAAGTAGGTCGCAAAACACTAAAATATCATTTGGATCAGCAGAAGCTATAGCTTTGGTCCCTTTTATGGGAGAATGAACTGAGGTCTTAGGTAAAGATAATTTGCATTTTTAAATGATGTAGAAGTGAAGCTACTAATCCTAAGAGTTATGACAGTGCACTGAAAAATTCCCATGAATAAGATGGCTTTCATTAAGAATAGAAACCCTCTTATGCATAAATGAACAAAGCAAATGGCAGCTCAACCTTATTTCATAAAACTAAAGCCTTATACATAGAATCTACTGCATTATGAGAGAACTTTTAGAAAAATAACAGTGGGGGAAATATTACAACATACATAATACTAATGTATAAAGGGAATGAGACAACCAAGGCAAACTAAAGGATAAAAACAATGGTGGTGTAGAACTTGTGGGTGTGGTCAACCAAGGACTGGTCCAACTTGAGGCCCACACCACAAAAGGGAGCCAATGCGTGCCATTGCCTGGATGGCTAGGAACCAGAGACTGGACAGCCCAGAAACTCTCTAACTCTCTAACTCTCTCTAACTCTGAGAC